CATTTACTCTTATTTACTTCGCGACACGTTTGCGGTTTACGTTAATCGTGAAGTTCTGTAGGTTCTGGAAAATGCTAATCAAACTTCATAACAAACAGTTACCGGCGAACATATTGGGTTTGGAATTTGAATTCAAGTAGGATGTAGCAATTTTTTCTTTCTTTGTGAGCATGTTTTGGGATAGCACCATGGAAACAAATATTATCCTGAACTGTGTAACGGTATGACAATGCGCGATATTTGTCACTTCAAACATAAAATTTGTTTTGACAAGGAAAATGGACTAAGCTACTCCAAAGTGAACTAAGTCAACTAGCGTGGCGTCATTCATAAAACATTGACCACGATCCTTAACTTTTTTCACGGATCAATTCACATTTTAAGGTTGCATAATTCCTTTAACACTTAACTTCTGCCTCTTTAGCCAATATAACACATATAACTAAGCTACAGATGTAGTAGAGAAGAATGCTTGTAAAATTGATGTACCTTCGGATATTAAGATCATTTTGCGGAAGACAGTTTAATCGGAACAGTGTAAATCAAGCTTTCGTCCAGAGTCATTCTCAGAGTTAATTTTAAAAAGCCATCTTATTAAGATCTATTAAGTCATTAACTTATTAAATTGATTTCGAATTGCGGCACTATTAACACTATCAGTTGGTCACATGACCGCATTCCGACCACAGGAATCCCTGACTCGACCCAAAATGGATAAAGTTCATCTTTTCTAGGAGGTGAACTTGCCGCCTAAAAAATTTTTTTTATTTTAGTCTTTTTCACCTGTTGTTTGACATATTGTCTGTTCTGCTATGAGGTCTTTACKGTAGTTTATTTAGTATCTATACTGATCAGAAAATTAATCAAAAGTCGTTGTGATAAAAAAAATAAGACTTATGTCATGGAGAAGAAAAGAGAGCCATTAGCGTGCCTTTGATACAAAGATGATCAATGCTAGTTGTGAGTGCCTATAGTTGTTCAGTAACTTTCTCGTATGTGATAGAAAACTGGAAGATTTTAAATGTTACCAGCAACAACTATTTTCTCATGATGTTTGCGAAATTTGTGAATTGATGCAGTACAAGTGAATTTCTCGAGCGATCCACAGAGTAAATATAGAACGCTAATTACATTAGACACCTGAGTGGGCGGTTTCTTCCGCCTAAGATCCACAAAGATCACACTTTGACCGTGATGTTTTCAATATGCAAATAACTCTCTGCCGTTCTCAGAGCTAAGGACTTAAAAAGGTAAGAGCTAAGCCGTGTAAATAGAAAAAGGAAGAAAGGAATGGTTAAATTTTTTGTTTCTTTTTTTGTACTTGAGCATCAACCTGGATAAGAACGTCGCGTGTGCGTCAACTACCATTCCAAAAATTCTTCGTCTAGGTTGGCCAAAAAGCCAACATTGCATTACATGAAGGTCTTTTAAAGAACTTTTTTAATTTTGCGTGCCTAATGCGGGTGAGTAAGTATTGTCGATAAAGCTTTGATTGAAAAGTGTGTTATCGCACAACTCGTGTGAAGAGTTTGACCGAAACTGACTAACCGTGATGACTCCGTTTCACGGTAAAAAATTTCAAAATTATTTTTAGAAACTTATTGTGACTTATTAAAGTATTGCGGTTTCACCAAAACTCTCTAATCAATATCACACTTTATTATTGTTGGGGAAATTCATTCTTTGAATAGTTTGAATTATGGATGTTTTTTTGATAGCAGAAATTCAACGCAATTACATACATACATACATACATACATACATACATACATACGTTAGTTGACCACTCCCCATGGGGGCTTTTCAGGGCCAATTCCCACCCATCCCACCCCAAGGGAGGACATCCACAACACAGTATTCTCGTGCGTGGGAAATTAACGTCTCCTACCCCTAACCCTGCAGGAGACGGGGCCTACGGTTTATTCGTCCTTATCCGAGAAGACTAGAATATCTATCCATTTCTTGATTATAGAAAGGTAGCAAATTCTCCTCACTTATTTTAAGACCCTGAGTATCGGTCCGGCCGGGGCTCGAACCCTCGACCTCCCGCACAACACAATCCGGCGCTCTAACCAATTGAGCTAACCGGGAGGCGGTTACCGGCGGTAATTGCGCTCTTCATGGTATGACACGCCTGCCATGAAACCCTCAATGTTTTAGTCGTTCGCACGTTACCGCATTTGCAGCTGATCGATTTATAAATGGTATCTTTTACGATAATTAGCAATATTCTTTTTTTAACAGGTGCAGTCACCGATCGGAAGCGGTGTCAACTTGTGTGGTCTACGCGCTAGGCCTTCCCCGACAGCGCTGTAGTTTCAGCTACTTTCTTTTCGGCCTTAAAGTTTTTTTGCATTTTTGCCATGATTGGGCAATATTTGACAATTCAAGGATATTCCCAACAAAATTTTCCTCTCGAAGTCTTTTAAAAACCACGGAATGTTTACACGGCCTTTAAATAATTACCATAGACACCTCAATTCCTGACCTAAAAAATATTTCAGTCAGAAATACCTTAAAGTCAACTTAGCAGCGTGATAAGGTTTTCATTCCCAGACTTGCCTCTTTATCCAAGAAAGTTCACGAAAACTGAAACGAGCGCCGGTAACCGTAAAATGGCGGAAATCAGTGCCCCGAGTTGGAGCAAATGAACTTTCCTCATGAAAAGTGCCAAAGAAAGCAAACTCGTATCAATTTGATAAATTTGTATAAAGGGGATTGAGATATGAGATCGATTATTTCATTAAATTTGGTTCCCAGAAACGCTTTTGAAAACGATAATTAATAACCATTATTTTAAAAGCCAAACATCGCATTTCATAGTGAATTTTCAACTACGGTATCATTTACCCCATACGGTATTACTTAGAATCGGTTCAGGTTGAGCCCATGATAAGTGGAAATAGTTTTGTTGTTCGAAGGAATAAAATTATTTTGGGGCATTTTATTTCTTCACGGAATCAGACTGTCTCATTATGGCTCTTGCTCAGACTGAACTTCGTGAAAATCGCCACATCGTCATTTACGTCACGACATAATCTCATTTGGCACCCCGTGGTTAAATCCGGAATTCCAAGTACATTTTAGCAGTTATAGCACCGTTTTCGATCAGGAAATCAATAAAGTAAGCTAAACTTGCAGAGCTTACGACGGCAGATTGGTTTTTATCCCTGCTTTTGTTTCTAATTCTCATCCATTTAATTTCCCGCGTGGCATTCCTGTAAGCTGGCGACGGGCGTTTGTTTTTCTTTGCACTTTCGCACCCATTTAACTTTTAAGGAAGCTGTAGGGTAAAACTGAGCATCATTGCGGACTTCAAAGAGGACAATGCAATCATTCTTACCGGTAGGTCAAATGTTGTTTGTCGAAGACGTTGAAGACGGGAAGCAATCTGAAACTATTGAAAATGTAACACACTCAAGCACTTGTCAAGCAAGGCTGAAATTATTTTAATCTTGTTACCATCCTAAAATTTTATAGCAACGAATATCCGTGAATAAAGTTTTTGATAAACTTGTTCATATGACAAATTTTTTTATCAGTTAGTCATCGCTATGAGACTTGTTAACTTCGCACCAGGGATATCATGCGGAGTATTAGAACATTACTTAGAAGAACCAATAAGCAGAACACAAAACAACAAATAGCTACAGCAGAGGAAAGAAATAAATTATGAAAAAGGACTAGGGAAAGGATCAAAAGACAGTGTAAGGACAAAACAGAGGAAAAGTACAAAAATGATTGAAATAGGAGAAGAATAACAAGAATGGAGCTACAAACAGAATGAGATCGANGACGGCTAAGAAATGTACAAAGTTTTAAAACGCACGTGCTGGGCTATTGTTCTGCCAATTAGATCTATTGTTTTTCCACGTTCTCGTTGCCGTAGCCGTCGTGGTTTGCTTAAAGTCCCTAATGTCCCTTTGACTTACGGACGTGAGACATTTCAACGGGGCGGTAACCGGTAAGGGGTTTAAATGTAACGGAGGATAATTAAAGGCCGATATTGATAAGTAACGCGTGAATTTTCCAGAAAGGCGGGTGCATTACGTGAATTTTTGAGCCAGCGTAAGGTGGGAGTTTTCTCCTGAGATCTACGTCACCCATGAATTTTTTTCTTTCTTTTCGTGAACGTCCTCAAGAGTTAATTCCCTGATACCCGAAACCTTGAACGTAAGAAGAGAGATTTAAAGTATTAGGAAACGAGCGATGGGCCATTAAGGGGGGGAGGGGGTAGGTGGTGGTGATAACATCCAACCCTCTCGGGCTTTGTTTTAATTTTATCAAAAGGATTTCTGTCTGGGCAGCTTTCCGCTTCAATAGTTGTTTGTTTGTTGTGGGGGAGACATTTGCAGTGAACTAGGTGAAAATGTACTCACAAATAAAGGAGAAATTGTGACAACCTTTTATTTATTCTCCGAGTCTTACTTTCCATTTTCCCTTCGAGTTCGGTAGCTACTGTTCCTTTGACAAGCCAAAAATGGCATTGGAGAAGTGAAAACTCTAAAAAAATTTCCGCCATGTTGGATGACGTCACTGGCCCTCAGCAGCGCCACATGTATTTATATGTATTTAGGTATCTCATATCATAAACATTATTTTGTAGACGAAATATCAGCCTATGATTGGCTAAAGAGTCTGTGAAACCATCACACTACTGGAGGAAGGTGTGGGTGATACTGCCGGCATCGAAGACACAGCGTGTGAACTTGAAGGAGTCTCGGACATCACTGGACTGGAGGAAGGCGACGGGGTGGGACCCATGGGTGGAACAGGAGTGGGTGGCTTGAAAATCTTTCCTGTTATAGAAATGATAAATGGTACAACTCTGTCAAATGGGCATCCTTGTTCTAAACAAAGCACTTACCGTTATACTTGTGCAATTAGAAAGTAATGAAAAAAACATTCGACTCAAAGATCTTTGAGCTTTCTCTTACAAGATCAGAGAAATTGGTTTGAATGTTTCAGTTTAGCCCAGGAGCGAATCATCAGGACGAGTCATTATTTTTCCCCAGGAGGATTTCCTTTTCTGGGGGGGACCACATGGTTTTAGGGGGGTACGGAGAGGGGATCAGNGACGATAAATTACCCTCAAGATAATTGCATCATTTGTTTAGAGAAAAGCACTTTCTCTGTCAGGCATTTCTCCGGAAGGCTTTCCTTCCCCTCGGTGTCTGAACTTCTTACTTGATCAGCATTTTGTTGTAGGTCTGGAATTGATATGGGTTGGTAACTGCACATGACACTCACCAAAAAGTAACGTTTGAGCCACTTGGCATTGTTTATTATCTTGGCAATCTACTTCTCTCAGTACACGTTGGAGCTGCACCTTTAACCTGACTGATGAAAGAATAAACACAGGTATCTGTTTTAGATAACTTTAAAGGATTAACCTCGTGTTTAATGCCTCCTTTGGTCAAATGTTTGGCTGCTTGATGCAAATTTTTGCATACTATTTTCGTTAAAATGTGATGAGGTCTGGGAAGAGCAAAAACGGTGACAGACCAATCAACTTATGTGTTACTGATGTTTTTACTACGATTTGGCGACTGTTTTTGTTTTAAGACACACGGAAAATATATATCTCATTTTGTACCAGAAACGAAAAAAGAATTTCCTCGCTCGCTTAACTCTTCGAGCTTTATGTTCCTATTTACGTATTTTTCTCGTCACAAGGAACTCGCCTTTTTTCCTCCTCAAAAACAGATCCGTCAGCTCTTATACTTGGAGAAATCTTGTACACATTTCTCCATAACTTCTACCGTTCGTATGATCATCGACAGCTACTAATTACCATTACAGCGCCCAAAAGCTAAGTTTGATGGCAATCAGTTAGCTAAGTGATTCTGATAAAAAATAGTACACGTTTGCTTACATTTGCTAATTAGCCAGCAGCGGAATACGGGGAACTTCCGAAAGCTCCTCTTTTCTCTGAGATTATGGCCTGAAAAATACAATCAATTCTATGTAAAAACATAGTTACAGTCAGCGATAAAAGGGCCCGTTTCAGGTTCGCTTTCAGCTTGCTTTGAATCTGTGTGAATGAGAAATAAATGAGACGCTGTTTTGTTATAATAGGTACTTGTTTTTTTTTTTTTTTTACTTTTTATTCACATCGATAATAACAAGCGGGATACAAAAAAGTTCTCATTATCTTTTATCGTCAATCCAATGAGTATCTTTAAATACAGCTGTTAAATTCAGTTTTTTTCTTCTTGAATTACAGTTTAAAATTTTTTTACTTTTAAGCTCAATTTTTCTGATATTTGGTGAATAAATTAAGTCTTAGAGGTAAATGTTTCAAAAGTATATGAAAAAAGACAAATCTCCTTCCTCGTTGGTTTGTCATAACTTAGTTTTTAGAAGAAAAAATCCTAGACAACAGAGAAGGAACAAAAGATAGCTAAAACAAAAAAACTAGCTAAAGAACGAGGGAGAAAAAAGCTATATTTTGCATTTGTTATTTTTCCTCGAGAAGGTCAGCAATAAGCCTCGACTTGATGTTCGTCTGCATGGTTTCCAAAGTCTTTTCCACAATATGGAGTCGATATGTAAAGATATTATGTTATGTTTTATCCGAAGTTCAACTGAATACAGTGGCGGGCTGTTGCCTTATCCACTGCACTGTCGACGGACAATTAAACCCCTTAACGAGTCGATTCCTTGAATTGGCGCTTTCAGTTAGGAAATCAGTTTTCCATATAATTTTACTCTCGACAACTCTAACAATGTTTGTCAGTAAGTGGCAGGCGAACACCACATGACGCCGGCGCGCATTCCAGTATAGGACCATCCTGGACATTAGTTCATTTTAAAGTTGCAGAGTCTTAAAGGGCCCATGTTTGTTTGTCTGGTTTGCTTTGTTTGTTTTTGTTAGTTTTTTGTTTTGGTTTATGTCACATATAGCACACAGGTCCACACAGGTCTTCAGTCCGGCAGTCAAAGTTTAGAAGTTCGATGCCGCTATCGATTTATTTAATCAGTGTAATACAACCTACCTTGCAATTCCATATCTGTCTCACTAATTTCGTTTTCATTCTCTGCTTGAACAAATAATACCAGGAATATGACACAGAATGCTGCCTGTAAACAAGAAGAACAAAGGGCCTAAACGTCTAACCATGGACGCAAATGTTTTTGGAGAAACCTAATAACCTAATGGTTAGATATTCTAGTCTTCTCGGATAGAGACGAATAAATGGAGGTCCCGTCTCCTGCAGGGTTAGGGATAGGAGACGTTAATTTCCCACGCACGAGATTACTGTGTGAGGGATGTCCTCCCCTGGGCTGGGATGGGCGGGTTTGCTGGGCCCGCAGTAATTGGCGCAAGCTGTTGCGGTGTCCCTCTGTCGGAAAAGCTAATAAAACTAATAAAACTAAAACTAAAACTAATAACGTGACAGCTGCTGCATAAGTATGTGTAAGGCCGAAAAAGTTTTCTTTTGATACTGATTTAAACGAAAATAAATTCGACCGCGTTTTTCTTGAACTCAGATAGATGAAAGCTGATTTTAACATTAGTCAGGTGAAATATCTATTTAAACACAGGAAAGAGGAAGTTGAAAAAGGCCATCAAATCACTTAAGTCATTCACTGAGTTTCTTGAACGGCAAGGTTGATTGCAATTAATCCAAGCATTTTGTCCAAGTTTATTGCCGGCCCCAGCTCTCTGCAGAAAACGAAAAAAACCTAATGCTAACGCAAAAAAAAAATGAGATTTTTTAGCGCAAGATGTAAGGTGCAATACTTACGGAAAATTCCTCCCAAAGGTCTGTGCATCGCCGGTGACTTGATTCCTTAACGCCGAAATCAACGTCAACTTCAGCCGAATGAGGGAACGTGAAATATTTTCACAAGGGTAGGATGCAAATCTAAGACTAAAAAATACTAGAGCCTCAGATCCTCCAATTTTGCCTAAGGATAATCGACGCTCTACTAAATAAGCTACGCAGAACTTGTGAGCGAATCAAACAATTTAAAAGCGTCTCACAAACTGCCTGGCAGGGCCACAGACAGAGTGTACAACTGACAATTTCTTATTTCATTTTATTATTGGAGTTTCCAGTTCAAATAATTCAAGATAAAAAATGATTTTTTTTTTTTTGCAATTTCCAATCCTGATAAGACGGAAAAACAAACAAATGCATCTCCTGACAAACAAATACTTCATTGCAAAGAAATGATGTACTTACCAAAACTAAAAGCTTGCACGCATTCATGGTTAGACAGATTTATGTGACTTGTGAATCCAGGAAAGGTTCTTCTTTTCAATTGCTTCAAAAACTGTCACCTCCGGTTGTTATCCAATGACTGAAACAAAATCAGTGTCTGTTCTTTTGTAAGCGATTTAGAATCGTGTATCATGATTCATCAATATAGCGTTTTTCCCATATTTACTGCGCAACACGCACACAGATTCTGGATAATGCTAATCAAACAAAGGCGATCATGTTGGCTTTGACACTTAAATTCAAGTACTGTGTCACTATTTTTTCCCTCTTTGTTAGCATGTTATGGAAAAAGCACCATGGAAACTAACCTAATCCGGAACTGTGTAACGGTATGACAATACACGATCTTTATCGAACCAGAATTCAAATTTGTTTGACAAGAATAACGCACTCAAGCTATATGTGATTTGACTAAGCTAGTGTAGCCTCATTCATAAAATATTAACTACGATTAATTTTTGCCCTTAATTTTTTTCCAGGATTCGTGGACATTTTAAGGTTGTATAATTACTTTATTACGTAACTTGTGGATCTGTCTCTTTAACCAACATAACGCATGTCTAAGCTAGCGCTACAGACGTAATAGAGAGTATCCCAACTGGATTGCTTTTAAAAATGATTTCACTTTGGATGTTCCCATTCTGCGGAAAAATTATTTGATCTGAGAACAATGAAATCAAGCTTTTGTCGAGTGTCATTCCCAAAGTTAATTTGTAAAGCCATCTTTTTAAGCAGCTAACTTTGTTTTATTGATTTCAACTTTTGACAATTAAAACTATGTTATCACTGTCACTAAGTCACTTGGCCACATTCCGACCACAGGAAGCCTCGGCTAGACCCAATGTGGATGACATCAGTCTGAAATTTCGCCAAAATTCATTTTTTGGGGCGATAATTGTGCCACGTAAGAAAATATTTTTATTCTAGTCTTTTTCACTTTTTGTTTGGCATATTTTTTTACGCAGCGGTGAAGTCTTTCATTTAGTTTTTTGTTTATATTGATCATAGTAATTACTAGAAGGTCACTGTGATATAAACAAAAACGTTCGAGAAGAAAACAGCTAATAACGAACGCTTGATGCCAAGACCCTACTTTTAAGTACCTGTAGTTGTTTCATTAGTTTATTACATGTAATAGAAACTCTGCAGAAAATTCGAATGTTCAGCAGAAATGATTTTAATGTGAATTTGAACTATTGTGCATCGATGCAGTAAAAGTGAAAGTAGAGTAAAAGTAGGACACCGATTTCTTTAAGATATTTACGTGGGCGGTTTCTAAGATCCAAGAAAATCACACTTAAAACGTGACGTTTAAATCAAAAACCAAATAGTTATCTGCTGTTCTCACAGCTAAGGACTTCAAATGGTAAGAACTTTATCTAGTTACTGGGAAAGGGAAAGAAGGAACTGTTCAATTTCTTTTGTTTTGTCACCTGAATATCAACACCCATAACAACACTGTTTACAAAATTGTCTGTGCGTCAACTGCCTTTCCAAAATCCTTTATCTAGGTCGGCCCGAAAGCTAACGGGCAATACAGGAAGGTTTTTTGGGGGAATTTTTAAACTTACGTGCCTTCATGCGGTTGAATAGGTGTTGTCGACAAAGCTTTGAATTAAAGGTATGTTATCGCACAACTTGAAGAGTTTGACCGAAACTGAGTAACACAACTATGCTTTTCGGTAAATAAATTAAAACTATTTTGGAAAACTTATTGAAGCTTACAAAAGTACTTTGTGGTTTCACCAAAAAATTTGATAAATATCATACTTTATTCTTGTTGGGGAAATTTATTCATTTTACGGACCTCACTAAACTCATGTGCCTTTAACATGACAATATTTTTCGGTCAAAATATTTCAAACTTGTTTTCTGTAGACTAATTCGCTTAGCATTTAGTGGTTTCACCAAAACATCTGATTCTTAATATATTCTGTTCTTTTTCGGGAAACTCAATCATTAAATAGTTTAAATGATAAAGATTTTTCGAAATGAAATTTAGCGCAGTTTCGCTCTTTATAAGTATAAAAGGCCATCGTACCCTCAGTTTTTTTGTCGTAAGCACGTTACCACATTTGCAAATGATCAATTTAGTTTGAATGGAGATTAACGGTATCTTTTTTCATTAGTCAGCAAAATATTTTTGTGACAGGTGCAGTCACCGATCGGAAGCGTTGACAATTTGTGTGGTTTGCGGGACAGGCCTTCCCTGGCTGTGCTGTAATTTGAGGCTCTTTTGTCGGCCTTAAAGATTTTTCGGTATTTTATAAAAACTATGACGATTCAAGGAAATTTCCAAAACAATTCTCTCCTGAAAAGTTTTAAAGACTAAAAATACTGGACGTTTGCCTAGGCTTTCCCAAAACTTAATTCCCCCCCTCGCCTATTCCCTCTTAAAATCCATTCCGTCTAAAAAACGCAGTTCCCAGTAAATATCCATCCTCCCCTCCCTCCAGGACAAAAACCCAAGGCTAATAGTGCCATTGCTCGTTATTTGGGTTAGGGTGCGTTTCAGTGCAAAATTATACTTACATTCGAAAGCCTGCCTGGATTACTACTCTGTATTTGTGAAATGTGTTAAGTTCTCAGCTAAGAAATGAGTACTGTATAATGCATTCTACAATACATCATTATTAGCTGAGAACCTGGGTGAACTGCATTTTGGCCCTTCATAGATTTTTGCAAGAGATCACAATCTCCGGCTTACTTTGGATAAGCTCTCTCTCCGATCTCCAATATGTCCCCCTTTGGAAAGCGCTGAAACTTAATGAGTTTTTCCGAGGGCCTTTGCTTCTTAGAGTGTTCATTGTTTGCGTGGTTCGTGTCCTTGTAAAAAGATTATGGTCAATATTTTTAAAATCTTCCTTAAGTACCCCACGAGGTAAAATTACGCAAACGTTTTGCAAGAGATACTCGTAATATAGTGGAACCCTGAGGATCGGGCTATTTGAAAAATCGAAGAAACCATTGCCATTTTATGCCATAATTGACAACAATATTTACAAACTTGCTAAAAAAAATTTACTAACTTTGATTTTGGGAGATAAAATGGATCATATTATGGCTGAAAGATTATTCTTAGGTTTAGCTTTACTTCTATTTGGGTGATTCCGCTTCAAGTGAGCGTTCAATAGAGGAGGAGGACACTACATTAAGACTCAGTTAAGCTAAATAGAGGAGGTGTTCAAAACTACAGCACTTAGGGAGTCAAAATTTTGGGACTTAAAAACCCGAACTCGAAATACAAAGTAATAACTAAGCACGATGTCGCTCAATACAGGTTCGATTGCTTTTTGTTCTGTTTATTGATTATTGTCGTTTGCCGACAAATGAATAATTATCAGTACCGCCCTATCAATATGTTACACTAAGCAACGCGTGACCGTTCGCACTCGTGACTACATTCACGACATTTGTAGCAATAGTCCGTTTTACAGTTGTGTGCTTGGTTGCCAAGCCTTTGAATGGAAGTGAGGCTAGGGTTGACCTTGTTATGATACAAACCTTGCTGCCTTTCAAATGTAAATCACTTTGTTATCATGCCAAGTAAATACAGGTCTCTATCACAAGAAGGTCACCTTCAGCCTCACTCTGAATCAAAGGCTTGGCAACTAAGTACACAACTGTAAAATGGCCTATTATCACGTCATGCTGGACGATGGGTAGCGACTTTCTCTGAGATGGACGATGAATCATAAACGTTTATTTATTCTGTTGATGATTGGTTAAAATGCGCATCTATCCGCCAATAGGGATCGAACAATGTGTTCACGCATTTGAGAAACTTTTGAAAACCATTTGAATATTTTGAGCACCTGTGGGACATATTTTGTGAATATTTTCTTCTAGAAGTTTGCAAGGCTTTCATTACAGCGCTATCTTGAAAGGCCTGCTATTTCTTGATCATGAAAATTAGTCATACCTACAGAAAAAAGGTATGTCTCTCGCTCAAAAGATCATGCCCCAGCGACCGGGAAACGTTTTCAAAAGGGTCCTAAAGGGTTTATACGTGACGCGTGATAATTAAAGATCAATATTGATAAGTGATGCGTGAATTTTACTGATCCAGCGTGAGGCGTAATTTGTCTCCTGAAATATATGTAATCCATATTTTTTTTTCGCCTTTTTCGTGAACGGCCTCAAGATTTCCATAAAAGCCCTAGCAAACTTCTTGGTACCTAACTTTAAGAAGCGTAACAAGGCGATATGATCACAGATAAACTTCTGTGTTAGGTTAAGTTAGGAGGTTAGGGAAAACGAATGGCTCTGGAGACGAAACGGATCTTTGGTTGTAGGTTTAACGCTCCGCTTAACTGATTCGATCTGACCCGAACTCATGAAAAAAAAAAAATTAATTAAAAACAAGATGGTTTTGAAATTACGTTAACTCTTTGCTTTTTTGGATTGTATCGGTCATCTTCTTCAGCCCTCACTTAATTTGTTACTTTGATCATGTAGTGGAGCAGCTTAACATTCCTAGTCTGTCTTCGTATGCACCATCGCAGCTGTATGAGGGGAAAAAACACAGAATTTGCTTCAAAAGCACACTACCTTCAAGATATCTTTTCAGTTGCAGCCCGAATTTCTTTCCTTAGAATCCTCCATTTCGTTACCTTAAGCTATTTTTATTTGTGTGACGGTATGTAATTAAAATTGCATACCGTCACACGAAATAGAAATAACTTTCGTTTAAACCCCTTTTTCACAGAGGGTTATGTAACCAATTTGGGAAAACGAAAATAAATTTATTCCATCCTTCTTAAAAACAAAATTTCAGTATTAGTGCGCTGAGTTGTGCGTTTTTCTTTTTTCTTTTTTTAAAAGTACAAACAAATACCTTACATAAGCATGTTATTTTACGTTACTAAAACAACAGACAAACAGAACGCTCCTTCCGGAGTAACGACGTGGTTCCACAATTAATCGGATGATATTACTCCAGTCTGAGCACAAGCGTTTCACACCGACGACCACAGACGATTTATTACGACGCCCATATGCATACCAGCACGAACAAGACGGTGTTACGGCAGATGGAAGTCACTTACTTCGTAGTTTTGTTCTAATCAGTTTAAGTAAAATTTAACATCCAACTTTACTTTCTGCGTGATATATCTTAAGTGCATGCATTTTCTCTCTTGTAATTTTTATAAACGAAAAGTTCGTATACTCCTTTAGCATAGGTTTATGTTAGACCAACTACCCACGTAATCCGCCACAGTAAGAATCATGACAATCAAAATTTCTCTCAAGTTTTTAAAAGAGGAAAGCATTCGATGGAGATTGATTGTGAACTACTAGCCCAGTCAACGCTACTGGCAGAAATGAGTTTGAAAAGGACATCATCATTCGCATGAACGAAGGTTATGACAGAGCGGAAACTAGGGAGAGTCGATGGCCCCCTTTCTCCCCAGTACTCTCTCGTTTTTATCTTGCCCGTCTTCTGGACAACTCCTTGAAGCAAAGGGGAATCCTGATATTAGTCACCCAACGCTCCTCCCTACGGATGGCTGATTGCTTTTGAACTACATTCCTTTCCCTTCTCTGACCAATCAAATTTTGGTTCTCAAAATCTGAAACCATTCGCGCCTCTTGAGGGAAAGCCACGTACCAGCGCCTTTCCAGTACGAGTTGGCAGCCACCATGAACTTATTTATTCACACATTTACAGGTATATTTTAAAGACAGCTTTACGTCAAACGTTACATCATTACTGTTACAATTCCGGAATGTGAAATACTCACAATGATTAACTTGTATTGTTCAATGGGCTCACGATCACGAAGATGTTAGGAATAATAATTGTAAGGTATTTCTGCAGTACAAGATTTACATATAGATATAGTGAGTTTAGAGTATCACTGAGTAAGTTCAATTTTTTTTTTTTAGTTAAATTTATTTAAACACCTAGGTGCCTCTCTTCACCCAGGTGTTTAAATGGGTACCGGCAATTTAATGCTGGGGGTAACTCTGCGATAGACTGGCATCCCCTCCAGGGGGGGAGTAGAAATACTCCTAGTCGCTTCATGCTACAGAAACCGGAGTTAAGTACCGGTCTAATGGGCCACTAGGCTCGTAAACAGACTTTACCCTTTACCTTGGTCTTATTAAAAATTGTATGGAACAGTAGCATGAGGAAGCAACTACCTTCAGAAATTATTGATGACTTTCATGGTGTCATGAGAACGTTTGGAGGGTAATGAGCAGTGATTTTCGAAACGCGCGTTTCCCCAGCTCGTCACGCTGATTTAGCGATAGAGAACAAGATAGCACATCGTGAAAAGAACTACGAGTGATAGAAAAGTCGAGTCTGATTGCGTCAGATAATCTGTAATGCTAATCACAAAAGTTTGAAAACCTAATTTTATACGAATATTGACGTCAAGATTTTAAAGAAATAGTGAAGAGGGAGAATCAGTGTGTAGACTTATTTAAATAATACATTGCAAGGAGTGTAGATTTGATGGTGTTTGCCAGAGACATGATGTTTTTGCAAGCACGGGTGTACGCACAAGAAAAAGTTAAAAAAACGGAAAGGCTGCAGGATGTGACAATATGCCACCTGAGACAATTAAGGTGGGTGGGGAAACGTCAGAGGAGGTTCTTTTGGACCTATACAACAGGATATGGAGCGAGGAGAAGATACTAGAGGAGTGGAAGAAGGATCTACTAATCAAACTGCCTAAGAAAGGTGATCTGAGCTACTGTAAAAACTGGCGTATTTTGCTGAACATGGCAAGTAAGATGTTTTGCAGAGCGATCCTGGAGCGCATCAAGATCGCGCTGGATGAAAAGCTGAAGGAGGAACAGGCGGGCTTCCGAGCCCGCCGAAGCTGTACGGATCAAATAGCAACGCTGCAGATTATTGTGGAGCAAAGCATCGAGTGGCAGTCCTCCTTGTATATCAACTTTATAGATTTCGAAAAGGCCTTCAATAGTATTAGCAGAGAGATTTCTGGAGGTTGTTGCGGCACTACTGGATGCCTGCCAACGGCAGTCATCATCCTTAGTGCTCTCTATGAAGGTTTTTCCACACAGGTGGTACACAATGGACAGAGGATCCAACCATCGGATATGAGGACGGGGTGAGACAAGGCTGCCTGCTATCTCCCCTGCTGTTTCTGGCCGCTTTGGGTTGGGTGACGAGGACAGCCTTTGACAGGGAGAGAGGTATTCAGTGGACCTTTACGACATCCTCAGAAGACCTTGACGTTGCCGATGATCTGGCCCTACTGTCGCACAGAATACAGGATATGAGGGAGAAGACACGAGCCTTGGAAATACAAGGTGCTAAGGTAGACCTGAAGATCAATGCCATCAAGACAAAGTTAATACGTATCGGTACAAAACGTGGCAATGGTGTGTCGGTTGCAGGGGGGGGGGGGCAGATTGAGGATGTGGATGAGTTTACATACCTCGGGAGCATTGTAAGTAAGAAGGGAGGCACTGACAAGGACATTCAGGCACGAATTAGAAAGGCGAGATAGGCATTTGCGATGCTGAGACCAATATGGCGATCCACAGCTCCAACAACCAAGACCGTGCTGAGAGTCTTTGGGTCAAATCTGAAGGTGGTGCTCTTGTATGGTTCTGAAACTTGGAGGCTGACTAAGAGTTTGGAGCAGAAGTTGGAAGTGTTCATCAATAAGAGCTTGAGGAACATCCTGGGAATTTGGTGGCCTAGAAAAATCAGGAACAAAGAACTTTGGAGACAAACAGGGCAGCGTCCGTTAGAGCAAGAGATAAGACAAAGAGCTTGGGGCTGGATCAGCCGCACGTTGAGGAGACCAGATGGATATGTAGTCAAGAAGGCACTAGAGTGGAACCCACAGGGGAAACGAAAGAGCTGAGAGGACACACCTGGCGACGTACGAGAATTGCAGAGTTAGAGAGGAAACATCTCATATGGAATGAGGCTAAGGGCACTGCACAAAATAGGGTCAGGTGGCGCGCTCTAGTTGAAGACCTATGTTCCGCTAAGAACGAAGAGGAATAAAGAAAAGGAGAAGTGTACGTATAGACGTCTGTCTATAACGTCTAGGAACAAAAGTCTCTACTACTTTTTGAATTTTTGTCGATAACTTTCCTTTATCTTCCCCTCTCTCCCATTCAAATGTCTCCTAGACGGCATCCTCACTAATTTTTTAGGCAACATTGTTTGGGGGAAATGGGGGCTTTTAAGTAAGTTATTAGGGATGAATTACAAAGTTTCTGTTTATTATGTTAAGTAAAGGGCTGTCGACCATCAACTAAGAGAAGGAGGTGTGCCGAATACTTTTGCCACTCATTGCATGTGTGAGCATTTTCTGCCATTTTCACAAAAGCAGCTCCTGTTACGATTGTCGATTTGTCATATCTTGAATTATCGCGCTTGGTGATTTGTTAATACTTCCAACGGACTTGACTTATAAAATTGCAGTTACACAGACGAAAATTTTCAGTGAATGAAGATTTAAAGTCACTCTGAAACACATGCCAAACTTTACAAAGTAAAAGACACATACTACCCACCGTGCACTGAGTTTCCTTGTTTTAAGTCCTGTTAGGAATTCGTTTGGTTGGCACTTATTATGTCATGTGGTGTATCAAACAAAAATAATGGCGGTAGCCACGAAACATCACTCGATCCAAAATGGTGGCACTGAGTAAAACCCAATTATAAAACTAAAGGAATTTATTTCTTATTCTTCGTGTCCCCCGATACCCCCCTTTTCTTATTCATGCCAGTAATTATCTTTCCTCATTTAAGCTGCCGGGCCCGCAACGCATGAACGAGATGTAGATCAGGGTTATAATCATTTTTCAAGCGGTTATAAAGATTAGGTGATATCAACCGCTACATGTCAAGAACTGCTCTTGTTTGTGGTCCACCACTGAAGAATCATTCCAATAGAGTTTCTACTCGGTTAATATTTCCTCGCGATTTTTTAGTTCATGGTATCCATCAAGCACAAAATTGTGATTAGAACATACGACCGGCAACAAACCATGAAACTGACTATCAAATATGCTAAACTTGTTTTAAGGCTACATAATTTCCTGAAACAATATACAACGTCGACTTCTTCTTTTAATACCGGGGGGAAAATACGGAATTCATGGAATGACTCACCCACTTGAAACAGACTCTGTACAAAACCGCCATGAATATCCACTTTATGGTTCAGAGAAATTTTACAATTCGAAGGGAGGTACTGGTATCACCCTAGCTCTTGTCTAGTCTCGGGCAATTTTCTCGCGGGAGCTGCTGCGGAATCGTTTTATAAAATGCAAAAAGTCCCTTGACCTCTCTTACTTAAAGCTATCAATGCTGACTCTGAGAGGATGCAAGTGATATCGTCTGTTTTGGCTTCTAGTTCCTTGGTGACAAAACAAAATATTTTGTGACAATTTGTGTTGACTCAGTGACTCTCAAGTTGCAATACATCATACTATAAAGTTGGCATTTTTATTTTCGGTATCTGCCAGTTCGCTACAGTATGGTTTTTAAAGCGTTTCTTCGTTTCCTTTTAAGGACTTACTCTAAGGCTTTCGAGCCACAGCGCGCCTAAATTAACCAGTTTAGAATAATCTTACCGGACAATCAGTTGAAATCAATTCCCGCTAAAGACGAGCAGAGTAACTTTACTCCAGATTACAAATAACCTAAAAACCCACGGGTGAAAACTGTATATATATACCTACATTCTGTATTTCCATGGAAACCATTAACTTAGCGTCCGAGGGAGTCTGGGCAGATACGATTAGAATTCCTATTCTTGTGAGTACTCGCTTTGATAACATGACTTTATTACACGACTCGGGAAGTCAGAGGGCCAATAACTAAAATCAGCCAATCAAAATGCTCTATTGCCGGTCAATATTCTCTCAGTATTGGACCGGGCACTGTCCCGAATGGTCCCGAATGATACCACACTTGTGTCCCTTTCAACTTCAGTCGTGTAATAAATCTCTTATTAACCAAGCTTGCTCGGGACCTCACTGGAAGAATATCGGCGCTCGGTCCGTACTGTCAAGACCTCGGGCTGATACGGCCCTCGCGCTCGGTTAATAAGATATATGTATCCATTTTTTCCAAGTTTCAGTTGATAGCGCGCAAGTCGAACAATCCAGCAAAAAACTATACCACCTCCACAATATCAATCACTAATCCCTATGTGGTAGTACTTTTCAGGATACGATTTAATTTTGATGAAACGATTTAGTCTGGATGAATCTAGAAAATTTGTATGCCTTGGGATGATTGAGTTTATCGACCTCTTGAGGTGCTACACAAGCAACTGCGAATGAAACGGCGCCAAGTCACAATCCACTTGGGAATTTAACGAAAAACCCCACGATCAGTAAAGATATGATATTTCAAAGAACAAGTCTCAAACTTTTCCAAACACAAACATTTCGACACAAAACCTTTGTAACTAGTAGATCGGCTATTCAAGTTATTTTTTTGACTTGATGGCGATGTCCTTTTTGGGCAACGTTAAAGTCCTGTTGAGCCAAGAGCGCTCTTCAGGAAGAACATTCTAAGAATTAGCTCTTCCGCTTGAACAGAATACTTTTTTAGTAAAAAACGTAACACTTCTTTTAAAATAGAACGTCGAGTGGGTCATTATTGTATTTAATTACTCTTGTTTTCAATATTCATTTTTTTGGTTACGTAAATTGTGAGATAGAAATCACGCAAACCCTTCTGTTCTGAGTGTTTTGATTTTTTCTGCTTTCAATAGTTCCCACTGGATAGTTTCCCATAAGAAATAAGGCGACGTTCATTAGTTTAAAAGAGTACACCTCTGTACACACTGTTACAGGACCCTTGCAAATTGCAATTTTTGTTAGCTTGATTATTTAATTACGATTGTTTGCTTTCCTTCTGATAACTTTAAAAAGAAACGGCAATGAAAATCAGCAATAAATCAATGTCCACTTAAGGACCCATTGCCCTACGACGGTCATCTCGAGTATTCGTATGAGTTTTCCTTTTTTACAAACGTTTATCTAGCCATCCCCTAGCCACCGTCTATCGTGCAACAATTCCAGAATGTAACGAGAATCAAGTTTTCCTGTCCTCTTTTGCGCTTCAGTTAGAGTAGGCTGTTTTGTTTGTGAAGTCGATGCAAAAAAGGAATGGAGTTGAGGGGTTTTCAATTTCATGTGGACGAATTGATAGAGACCTTGAGGCGTGTTCGAATTTAACTTTCGCCTCTTCGGGCCGGATCGCACTAGAGCCGATTTTGTTCACTTCCAATTTTTGGCGAGGAAAAAATTGGCAAAAATTTCGCAAGGGCCAAATTTTGGCGATGGTCGCATTGGACCAACATGTTTGAGCCAAAATTTTGCTGATTGACTAAAAATAATTTTGTCCCGACATCGTACGAGCTAAGCTGCATTAGCCGAACAAAGTAATTTTCCCCACCGTAACTTGATCCAAGTAATTTGAAGAAAAATGACAGCTCAATGGTTAAACAAACAAAATTGTTTGCTTTGCCAAAATTTGGAAGCCTACGAGGCAGCACTTCGGCTTCTTTGAAGATTGGCGAAAATTTGGCAATCCGCAAAAAATTGGCGAGTTTTTGAAACTGGGGTCGCACTTAGTTTGCGCTACTTGGTGACAGATTTATTACTTATGCAAACAAAATTGGCTAAAATTTCGCTCTAGTGCGACCCGGCCTTCGTCTCCCATTTGTAAGTCAGCCAAGCACGACCAGGAAGTGAAAGAATGATGTGTCAATTTTAAAAATATAGCTACGCAAATATAAAAGTAACTGATGGTGCTAACTAAAAGCGCAATCAGTTTATTATCCGTAAAATATCTCTTTAGACTGAATGGGAGGGTAATGGAATTGTTGGTAGTCAAGTATATTGCATAGTACATTCTATTAAAAATCTCGCGGAACGCATCGCTTGAATATTTTTCTGAATCTTCATGTAAGCGATACTGATCTTTCTTTTACAACTGTATAAGGAACTACGCACTGACACGAACATAGATAAATGAATTTTGGAGAGGAAACGGATTTTAAAGAATCTTTGGAACAATGAACTAATTTAGACGTCACGATCTAATCTGCGACACGTGATAAAGAGTTCACCCGGAAGCCATAAATAGTGTCTTTGCCTTGTTGTAGTTCTCTGCGAACGAAAGTCAGCATTCTCGCATGGTTGAACGCCGACAGAAAGATGTCGAGCTTATCGGAAGCCTACATCTACGAATGGGATTTGGAGCGAATGCTCATGTGGCTGAGAGAGGTGTGTATTAATTTAGCTTACTATTAATACCAAGTGTATACAGTTTGGCATTTATAAACGACTTGTTAGAGGCACGATGTTGGCCTACAAGCTTGTTCAAGCTATTGTGTTCTCCAATATCGATCTTTGACTGTATTAGAGCACTCCTGTCGAAAATGGCTGCTATATTGGAGGTTAAATCCGCTGAAAGCCTTTAGCCACTCTTTAGTCAGGCAAACCACGGTGAAATCATTCGCTTGTGTAGAGATTTCATGGCAATACCAAGCATCATGATCTGCTGATGTCTGCCGGTCCGCTTCAACGACCTCCAAAGATAGCTGTCGTTTAGCTACATCTGTATGAATAATGTTCCGAGCGAGAGCGCATACCTGGTTCTCAACTTGCTTGGTATGTACGTAACTATCTTGAAGAAATCAAATGAAAGTAACTTCATGTCTTACGAAATCAAATGAAATCCGGAATATAAATTAGGACATCCATCGTACTTTAATTTAGCTTCCCCTCAGGGATAGTTTAGAATACATAAATTTAAAACGCAAGTCATTTCGAAAGGGCAAAAATGCTTTCAGCGTAGCGAAGTCTTGAAACAATACAAAAGCGTAACTGCATTGGGAATGTTACGGACAGCCTACCTACACTAACTTAAGCAATGGACAAGGAACAGATGACAGCAGAGGTATTTTTTCACATGTTTGAGGATTCTCGTTTGTTTACAGATGTAGCTCATCAGTACGTCTTGCAAGGCTTTTGGTTAAAATACCCAATGTTAAGATTAATAGGCCATGCAATACAGCTGTGTTTTCGTATAGCATCTTTATTATTTGTGGACCGATCTCATCAATTAGTTCTCCAGGCATTTGATAATATAGTTTTACGATGACTTTCGCCCTGTCGGAAAATGAAACATTTAATAAATGAAACTTTCAATTGAGTTTTTGTTCGTAGATAACTGGCTCGACTTGTTTTTAAATGCATGCATTATTAATGTATTGCGTTTTGAAATAATTTTTATGGCTGTATGAGTATTTGATTTGAAATGAGTGATGTGGAAATCAGGATTGTACTTGATTTGCAACACAAACTCGATATGATCTTTCACTAGCATGCAACAACAACCGAAAAAAAGCTTCAGCACAGTACAGTTGCAGTTGAGAGTTTTTGAATAGCTACCAAATACCACTGTCTGTTTTCTCAAAATTTTCTGAAAATATTTTAGTGTCATAAGGATTCCAGAAGTTTTCCTAATTACACGGCAAAGTTAATGCATAGTTAAAAAAATCTCATGAAATGGTATTGTTGATATAATTAAAATTGCTTTCATGTAAAAAATATTCTAAGTTTATGAAGTGCGTTACCACTCTTTCTTGTGACCTTTAATTTTGTCTTATCTACTTTTATTGACAGAATTTCTTTAATAGTTCTTAACTTTTTTTTGTTGAAATTGAGAATTCTGCTGTATTGTTCTTTGTTTGATGTAAGTTAGGAATTGATTTGGCCAAAGATGACAGTACAAGAAATTGAGATCATTATGTGGAATTAGGCATTCGATATGTAGAGCAACCAGGAATGTGCAAGATAGTTGGAATCCTAAAGATAGAGCTGTAATCATTATGATATTATACAATGACTGTATATTGATTATTGTTCTTAATTGATACCATAATTGGCAATTTTGATAGAGAAGATTTAGTTCTTTTCAACCTTACAACTGTGGAGTTCAAGAGTTATTTATAAGAATTTTCAAATTACCTTGATGACCTTCTTATAATTAAAATAGAATGTAATTCCTAAAGAAGGCTATATCAGACAATTCATGTAACTGCAGCAGTAATTACATTGTTAGTACTTAAACAATTAATATTTATTTCTATTAAACTTAACAATTCCAAGTTACCTTGTCACATCTGTTATTAGCTACAATTAGTTTTTGGATATACTGACAATGATCTTACCTTATTCTTCTATGCACTACAAATGATTCGAAATCATTGTGTCTCTTGAATCAGTGATTGCAATCATAGTTGATAATTGATTTACTTATCAATAGCTTTTATTTAATACCTTCACAGGAGAATCTTCATGACTGTGTTCAGCCATTCTCATTCAAAAAGATAAATGGAATACAATTTATGGTGAGTTGATTTTCCTGATGCTTGACCAACATGTAAGAATTAAATGTAACTGTAAATCGTGATAGAATTAAAAGATAACAATGTAATCCATAATTATGAACCTTAAAATTTGCAGTAGGAAAAGCTGATAACTTGTAACATGCAGTAGAGCCTTGCTAACTCCCAAGGGAAATAAAGAGTAGTTTGGTTTATTGGGGGTTCTACGTTTAGGTATTAGGATTGGTGTTGAAGTAATCAGGTTTTTACCATTATTGCTCAACCAAATGTCATTTTTGTACATTTGGTTAGTTTTTACAAGAGCTTTAGTTTAGCACAAATTCTATGTATTAATTAAGCTTTCCTAACTGTCATGACTTTTGTATCTGATAAATAATAAGTAATAAATATATAATATTATAAATAATTTAGTAATGGACTTTTCATTGGGTGGCTCTAGATCTTCTTGTGCACTATTTCCAAATGGAATTGGAATTTGGAATGTTGGTTTTTGCAGAGGGAGGGAAACTGGTAGCCTGCGTACAAACGCTAGATAATTCTCTGATTACTAGCGTCTGTGGTTTACCAGACGATTTCCTGTTCTCTGTGACCAAATATCTAAAACAATTTTTGATTGGTTCTTTAAAAAAACGGTTTCTTACGCAAACTCTGATTGGACAATGACTCGGTGCAGTCTTTTCCGGTTGCAATGTTTTGGCACTTCAATTTTTGTAATGGCATCTGGGAGTGAAATTAGCGAATCTCTTTGGATAACTTGTTTGATAACTGCTTCATCATCTTCTTTTTCATCATCTTCTTCTATTTCTTCTTCGTCATTTTGTAGATTATCTCTTCCTGCTATCAGACTTAAGGCCACTCTAATCCGGCCAAGTCGGCTGAGGGATTCACGTT